TGAAGCCAAAATATTGAGGTAGTTTGATCCTGCAGAGTCTGGCTTGCAAAGCGAAATAGTAAATCTTTTGGGAAAAGCCTTTTAAATTCATGATTAAATTAAAATTATAGTTTGAATCCAAAAACTGTACAATTTTCCATGTAAATCAAAATGTTGTAAGGCTTGCTTACAACAGGGGAAATAGGGGAATATCACATTCCATAATGAACTATCGGAGCAGCACTTCTAATTTTGAACAGATTTGAAGGGGAGGTATGCAGATTAGGGGGGCGGGGGCGCTGAGGAAGCAAAACTCTTTCCTTGCTGCATGAGCAGAAATCTGTTTGCATTATATTTGATCTAGCCCTCCCTGTGTATCAATTAGACAGGCAACAAGACTTTTTCAGATTAAACTAGAATCATAAGTTTTGTTGGGCATAATATTAAGATGATTCTAAAGTCTTATATAAAATGAAGATTCATTGAGTTCAACTACATCAAAAGAAATATTGAAATCATGTTTGTTTCCTGCACTTTTCTTTTATATAAAGATAACGAAGTGTGTAAATGATTAACTCTACAAAGTTTCAACTGGCTGAAAGCCTACACTTTCTTTGCCTAGCATTCCATTATGTCATATCCTGAACAAAGGTCTTTTAGTGCTGTACTGAGTCTGTTCAGATGTAAGCTCCACTGAATTCAGTGAAGCTTATGCCCACCCAGGTAAGTGGGTCTAGGATTGCAGCTGAAGGGTGCTGTTACATATTAACTTCGGAGCAAGTATGCAACTGAGTCTTCAAGCAATTTGGAATTTATTCTTCTTTCCTCAGCAGTGCATTCTCATTAGTAAAACAAGAGAACCACATTTCCCCTTTCAGAGGCCTTTAAATAATTAATAACAAGGCCATTGTATTTCCCAGTCATCTGGTGATGTTGCAATACAGCCTTTCATCAAGAGCTAAAACGGAGCGGTATGTCTCCAGAAGAGAAAATGCTTTTGGGGCTGTTGAAGGCAGTGTCAGATTCAGACCAACTCTCCCTTTTCAATATCCCTACTATTAAACTTTTCCCCATTCAGTTGTTTTCACTAATTGCTTTGGTGATTTCTATTTCATTATGGACTTTGGTGTCATTTCACCTGCACCCCGCTTTTCTATTTGTGTTGTTGTAATTACAGTGCCATCTTCTTGTTTTATATTGACTTTGATACGTTATTGTGAACTGCTTTGTGTAGTTTAAGTGGGGGGTGGAAATTGCACTTGATTTTTTAGAAAAACGTAAAAACAGCCAATTTAGCAGAGATGATGTTTGCTTATGCAACTGTTTCATATGCTTTATCATAATTTCTAATTTTGGTAGTAGGGACTAAAAATAAGTAAAATCCTTGTTTGCATACAAGATTAAAATTAGACTTACTAGAAATGTCACAATTCTTGTGATTAATTCAGCATTTGCTAATGTATATGGCATGGGTCTCCCCACTTTGGGCTCCATATACTGAGGGTCTTCCTTTTCCCCCAAATTGCTGAAACATTTTCTTTGTTTCTATCAGAATAGGTAGAAAAATCTAGTTGACCTCAGCTAAGCAAGATGAAAGAGACTGCATTTTGCATCTATCAAGTAATCGGGGAGCTTGTGGGCTACCTTGGGGAGTTGAATTTTTAAAAATCCTAAATTTTTTTTTGCGTAAAAGGTTTTGTATTGCTGCAAAGGAAGAAATTTAAATATTTCCATATAGTCACCAAGAGTTAAGTTCAATTTACAAGCTTACCTTAGGACGCATACTACAGATTTCATATTTATATGTTACCAAGACTCTAAGCAGTTTACAATACAAGATTAAAACAATCAACAACAACCTTACTCTAGTGCCAGTGGAATCCAGCCCAGCTGAAGCCTGGCCAACGTAAAATCTCTACAGCAGCATTAATAATCAAATTATAGAAAAATTGAACACCTGTCTAAAGAGGGAATATTCATAACCGTCAGAGTTCAGTAAGTAAGATCTAAGTAAGTAAGGTATTTCACAGTGTAGAGGCCATCATGAAACACTTACCTTTGGGTCAATGTCCCCTGATTTCTTGTAACTGTAGACAAGTATATGGGTGTCAATGCAGCAAAATTGCTATTTAATTTGGGTATCAATCCTCATATTATTTCCTAGGTTGGTTTAAAGGCAGATACATGTCGTATGCATGATGATTAAAACATATACTAGGGTTACCAAGTATTCTCAATCCAGCTAGGTGCACAACTGATATGTCATATCAAGATAAGCAAAGGCTTTGCCTTTTTCCATGGCTTCTACCTGTGGTTCTAGTAGTAACTATGAGTCCAGGAGAACTTCCACAAACCTGTTTCTTCAGGAAAAGGGTGACCTATCAAATGAATTATCATAGAGTCAATTGCTTCTGTATAAACAGTAACACTGTAATTTATTTTGAGCTTGGTTTGCCCCATCTAGTTCTTCATGGTTACCACTCCTGAACTAGTGCAAATAGCTGTTGGAAAGTCAGAGTTTAGTAGAACTCCCATTTTTATTTGTTGATCAAATTCATATCCTGCTTTTCTATTTGTATAAAACTCAAGGTAACATACAGTATTTTTTTAAAGAGGAAGCTGTATGTATTTTAAAATTGAATGTAATTGCTTTAAACTCAATTTGATGACTTCCAAATATATTGGAGTATATATTAGAAGTCTATTCTTCTGATGACAATCAGACTTACAAAAGGTATTTCACAGTCTATAGGAGCTGGTAAGTATTGGAGAGAGACTGACCAAGCCAGGCAGAAGAGTCAAACAGGGAACTAGTCTGGAATCCCTATGTGGGCACAAGGGGACAAAGTCTGACCACCTTGAATGCTGTTGAACCTTATCTAGTCTTATACAGGTGCAAACTGTCAGTCTGAGAAGATTATTGTCCCTAGGCTTGAGCAATAAAATGGTAATTGAATTATTTAAGTGTGAATCTGGTTGTTTGCCCTCGGCATTAAAATATGTAAAGAGGTACAGTCATCCTGCATAGGATGCTTCCAATTACCAGCTACCAAATATGATGACTTGTGATTTCTTAATGAGAAGATTGAGACAACCGGCCCTGTTTCAACTCTCCAGGTTATAAAATATTATTTTGGCAGTTCCTATAGATGTTCCCTATAGTAATTTGGTCACTATTTGTGCAATGGAGTTCCTTGACAATAGAACTCTTTTCATCATAAGAAAATGTATAGTAGCTTTTTTTTTTTCAGCAGGGCTGGGAAATGTCTTTCTCCTCCTCTGGATCATATCGTTTATGCCTCCCTCCATTCCCACTCCTAACTAGGATACCTTATGGTTAGTATTACTGTGCTGCACCCGAGTACTTTATCCAAATATCCCTTGATTAGGGAAATAAACTTGTTTTTTATATGTGGCTGATAGCCTATTTGCCTTCTGTTTCACCAGCTCTTCTTTTATTGATAGAATCAATACAATAACCAGACCTATTTTCAACTTCTTTGAAGAAATAGTAGATGCTAATTCCAGAGAAGCTGTCCACATGCAATAAGGCAAAACAGAACAAATATTCTTCTTTCATGTTTATTCAGGATTTGAATCCTATTACCTGTCCTCTCTTGCTAGTATTTAAATATGTGTTAGCCTTAGTCCTCTTCTTAGTTGTGCCTGAGTTTGGCAGCTGTTTTGGAATTGCATGTGCGTGTTACTGTGTTTTCTCTCCTCCCTAGAAAGAAAGAAAATGCTTTCTTAAGGAGCATTTGAACTTGTGACATCCAGTTAAATTGTTACTGCCCTAACCCTTATTAGTTTTTGTTCTTCTTTTTCAACAAGGTTATTGACCCTGTAACTTTTATATACTTCTAATTATTGCATTTTAAAATCTTTTTGGTTATCATTTCAACCCTCAGGCTCTGTCATCATAGCAATAGCACTTAGACTTATATACTGCTTCATAGTGCTTTGCAGCCCTCTCTAAGCGGTTTACAGAGTCAGCATATTGCCCCCAACAATTTGGGTCCTCATTTTACCCACCGCGAAAGGATGGAAGGCTGATGCCTAACTGTAGTGACCTTTTCTGTTTTTCACAAAATAATTACATTTAAAAAAAAATTGTAATGGCATTTCACTTCAGTCTGTCTTTGCTATGGCCTACATATAGCATTATTTCTATGGTTTGGCTATTCATGAAAAACACAGCCATTCTCCTGGAAAGAAAGCAACTCTTCTCCAAACAAAGGGCCTTCCATTCAGAGATTTGCAAATTGGATCTCTGCCTTCATGCACTTTGTCTTTCATTGCCAGTTAAGGATTCTCCATAGCAAGTCATGTCCCTCTCTACAATCTACTCAATGACCTTTTTGATGGCTCTTTTTGCCTGATTTATGTCAAGTTCACATCCTTGTTGTAGTCTTCTATATTGCAGTGCAACATAGCAGTTGGGTATCAGAACTATGAAAGATAATACATTGGGGAAAGTGAGTTATTTTTTTATTTCATGTAATAAAGCATCTGCCCTTACCTGCTATTTAATCATGGGTACAATGCTCAGAGAGTACAGTGCAAGAATGAGTAGTTGCTATGGTTCTCAAGTGGTCATCCTATATTTACACAATTTTGCTCCATTCTGACTTATTCTCATATAATGTTGAGGTAGCCTTGAGGGACCATTGGACAAATAGGGATTTTTCCCATAATCACGTGCTGTGTTTGCTGCCAGACTCTTAAAAATTCTGATGTGGCTCTGGATTACCCACATGTGCAGTTTAGCATAAAATGTGAAGCCATATATAATAAAAGTTTTTAAAAATAATCTATTTCTCCAAGACTATTATGAATCAAAACCATAAATTCTACGGTGTTCAAGTAGAACTTGTGATGGGTTTCAGCCCTTTCCTCCCCCATTTTTTTCCATAAGCAAACTTAGAAAAGGATGGATAGAACGGCAGCTTGCTAGAACCAAATTATGATTCTGTCAATGTGTTGCATGCTATACAATTACCTTGTTTTGGTTTCTTTTGCAGGTGCAATACTTTTTCAGTATCTTAGACAGCTAACAGAACATTGTGAAGTAAAACTGCTTAGAAAAAACAAACTGCAGAACGGGAAATGTATGATTATTCATTTATTGTCCAGTGTTTAAACCTGAATGAAATACAAGGCCCACAAGAGCACTGAACTCCTGGCTATTACATATATTAGAACATAGAGTTTTGCACTTTAGACAACATTTAACACCAATTGATGGGATAACTGCATTGCTTCTCAAAGTTCAAAATAAAGATTTATTTTCAGACATGTGGCTTTGGTTTATTTTTATACATTACACCTTTTTCTTGCAGAAAAAAAAAATTGTACAACTGCATAAATATAAAATTCTTTCACCATGAAAATGGTTAAAACATTCAATAAAGACAGCACCACAGCATGTGATGCTTCTCACAGGAAAAGAAGAGAATATACAAAGCAAAATAATTATTCCTATCACTAGTGAAATTGATAGGCTGACATAGGTCTACACACAATTTTAAAACATAGGATGAAAGAGAAAGAAAAAGACACCAATTGCTACAAAGCACAGTACATAATCACTTATTCTCCATAGCTTTGTTACAAAGATAAAGTAATTTTTCCCTGCCACCACACTAAATTTAGTAACTACTAAGGAATAGAAGTTGGGGGAGGCTTCATGGAGTGCTACTGAATAATCGCAGATGGGCCTTTAGCTTTTCAAAACAAAAGAGCCTGTTTGATGTTAAGGTTTTGATCTAGAAGTCAGAGGGCTGTGAGTTCTAGTCCCACTTTAGGCATGAAAACTGGAAGGGTGACTGGGTCAGTCGTACTCTCAATCCAATTCATATCATAGGGATGTTGTTGTGGGGAAAATAGGAGCAAGGAGTATTAGGTATGTTTGCTGCCTTGAGTTGTATATGAAAAAAAAGGCAGGATAAAAAAAAATCTTTAAAAAATGAAAAAAAGTACTGTGCCAGTTTTAATCCCACTGAGTATTTACACCTTGTGCAGCAAATCTGTGCTCACAGAAAGTAGAAAACAGTACAATACATGGCTTGAAAAATGACCAGAATAATGCACCTAAAGTACTGTACACTAAATAAAATTCACATGGCAGCAATACTTAGGGGGCAGAAACACTGCTTACTACAAGTCAGTTATGGAATCATAATTTACAGTAGAAATGGGCGTATCCCAAGGCTCAATTCTGTTTTTCATCATTTACAATAGAATAAATATCTGTCACTATTGCTACACTTTTAGGTTTACATTCTAATCTATTTAAATGCAGAAAGCTAGTGTAAAGCATACAGATTATGTGTAGGTCCCATATGTATGAGTTTTGTTCAAGACTAGTAGTTTTGTCTCTTTTTATACTTTTTAAATGGCTAAGAGGAAAAAACAAAAAACAAACTGCTTGTGATCAGCTGCTTTTTATCAGCATTTTCATATCAAAACGTCCCTGGAAACGATCTTTGTCACTGTAGCCAATATTTTGACCATAGGCCTTGCACTCGATACGCAGCTCCATATCAGTAGTCAGATTAGTGAACTGTACTGCTACAAGGGGTTGAAGGTATTTTGGCTGAATGAGCTTGCCATAATATGGGTAGTATTGTAGAGGAAAGCCAGCAAAGCCACCAAAACCATAGTATTCCACAGGGCCAATTTTGTTCAAATCTTCTGGTTTCTAAAGAGATAAATGAAACATTTTTTTAAAAAAAGCATCTTTCTTGACTTGTGCTCTACTTTGAACTGTTGTCTAGCAGAGTAAACATCTAATTATGCATGTTTCCATTACCCTTTAGTGAATTGCAATAATTAAAATAGTCATGTCTCCATCAACCTTAAAATATGGTTCCATGATACAGTGTTTGTATACTTAAAATTTTACACTTTTCACACATTACAATAACATGGATGATACAAAAAAGTGAGAAACATCTACCCACATAACAAAGAGAATGTCTACCTGAAACTAATATGGGTTTTTGTACCATTAGAGTCCCTATTATTCCAGATTTTTTAGACTAACTATGAGCATAAATCCAGAATCATGATCAGTATAGATATATGAGCTTCTCAATGCAACGTAACTGGTCTCCAATAAGACCATTAAATCTAGAATGAATAGTCCTAAAATATAACATTAGTTTTTGATTGTGCACAGATAGCCCTATCAATTTATACTCCTTAATGCCTACAATCTTATTCTTTCTAGAATTGTTGGACTTGAACTCCTAGAAGGCATACCTGGCTAGGAGATGAAATCCAAAGTAGATAAAGAAAAGGCCAGTTTATGCAGAAATTGGCTAGTCATAGAACCAAAGTAAGAACGTTCTCTCCGTGTATTCAGATAATGTGAATGTGTCATCAGAACATAGGTTATTTTCAAAAGGAGAATTATTGAGAATAAATTATGCAGAATAAATATTTCAAAAGCTAGCAATCATTAAATGAAATTTCCAGGCAATATATCTCTAAAATGGGAAGGGGTGTTGCTTTTACTCCATCTGTATCTTTCAACTTCAAAACCATTCAAATTCAAAACATTGTGCATACTGCTGTATGTAAGCATGGGAAGAAACTACTAGATAAATCAAAGCCTTAACTGCCACCCAGCTTTCTTGGCTACCTGTAAGCTTCTAGGAAACCCAGAAGTACATCATGTTGGCAACAGCTATCTCTTGGTATTTTTCCCAGAATTTTCATTACAAAGGTAAAATCTAATATTGGAAGTTATAGATAAGCATTCTTATAATAGGCATTTTAATATAGATTTGTCACAGAGAAATCAATAGCCACTGGTAGATTTTTAATTGAGTTAGCTTTCTATGGTAACCCTACAAAAGGAATATATAACTAATAAGATTGAATTATTTGTCATAGGAGAGCACAAAGAAGCAAACTAGCAATGTCTTAAAGCAGTTGCATCTTCTCCCAAGATAGTACTGTTCTTTTATGTCACTGCAGAAAAGTATCACTTTTGCTCTCCTATGGACTCTGAAGCACCTGAGCACTACGAGTCCCTGATGAATATTATTCATAAAAAATGTCATGCTGTTTGGTAGATGTTTTCATGATTGTCTTGGGAATTCAGCTAGGCCATCCAATGATCTGTAATCTGCTGTCAGTGCTTTTCCCCATTCTTTTCTACATGTTGAAGTGCACACTGAGTTTATAAATGTGGGCAGACTGCCAAGCATCCAATTTTTTTTATCAGGTGACCATAGGGGCACAGCATTGGCTGTAACTTCAAGGAACAATCATAACTGGCATTCATTCAGCACTACGTAATTTGGAATGGTTGATAAACAAATGGTAGCTAAGCCAGGGCTACCTATATACCAACCCAGAAACCATATTCCTCATATCTGATGCCAGAAAATGTCTTTTTATGGCCTCTATACTTTAGATCAAGTGTCTTCAAACTTGGCAAGTTTAAGACTTGTGGACTTCAACTCCCAGAATTCCTAAGCTAATATGACTGGAGGAGGAATTCTGGGAGTTGAAGTCCACGAGTCTTAAAGCTGTCAAGTTTGAAGTCCCCTGCCTTAGATGGTGCATACATCCAAAGGAGAACCTCCGAGAAGCAAATCAGTAGGGTAACCTCTAGTTGGATTCCAGCTCTTATATGACAGTCACCACAATGCCTCTGAAGACTAATGTGAAGGCAACAGTTTTTTCTCACCTCAATTCCATCTCAAGAAAGTTTCCATAGTTAACAGATGAGAACTCGATATGGCTAAGGCACAAGCCAGGAGTTATCACAGTCTTTTAGCACTAATAACAGATATGATTCCAATGCCTGATCAAATCTAGCAGTAGTATTTGAACTACCAGGACAGTCTTTAAGACAGATCCGACAGACAACACATTTCATGAATAGGATTAACTGTTTTACCTTAGCAGTGCAATGAATGGGAAGGACATTGGGATTATATTTTGCCAGCAGCTCAGGTGAGATGGTATCATTTTGTGGAAGCTGGAGAAAAGAAACACATTTCGAGAAAGTTTTAACAAATTTCCAAGTTGCTAATAAATAACTCCTATATGCAATATATTTATTTCCTATATATTATATCCTCTATAAGCAGTTGTTTAACTAACAGTTTGGAAATGAAGCTGCTAAGGAAAGGGGAGGAGAGAGAAGGAGTGAGAAGGAAAGGAAAGAAATCTACATGAGGTTGGAGAAAGTTACATAGCATTTATCTATGCATTTGCTGCTCCCTAATCACTGCTATTCTGTGGCCAAACCTGCTAATCTTTTGTTCTACACAGGTAGCTCTAACTTCTATCAGAAAATTGGGGTAGGAGGGCATTTGAAAAAGAAGAAATCAAATGATCAAGACTAAGGATGGTTTTAGCTGAAACACCCAGCAGTTGGGCAATGTTGGGCTTCAGGGTTTAGTGACCATGGTCTAGACATCAGATTTTTTGATCTTTCATTAGTAACTTTGATGGTATCATCAGAGGCCAGGTGATCTGTATAGTCAATGAAATATCAGGAAACCTCTAGACCAGGGGTGTCAAACTTGCGACCCGTGGGCTGGATGTGTCAGTACTGGCCCCACCCCTGCCCAGTTTAGTGAAGGGGGAAAAAGTCCCAATACATCACGTGACGCCGCCATGATGATGCGAATTTGACACCCCTGCTCTAAACCATGGACATTAAACTTTAAATCCCAATATTTCCCTACAAATACCAGCTGCGAAAACTGACACCAATATATTGCTCCCATATATGCATATCTTTTCTATTCTGGATTACAATTTTAATCACCCCACGCAGAACATTCTGTAGCATATAATATAGTAAAAATAATAGATCAAGGCTAAATTTAGATCCAGCCCAATGTCTTTACATGGCCTTAGGATGAAATCAATTATTCCTTCCTTCTCAAAATATGCTGATTTTGTTTTAACTGAGTATCTGTTTGCATTACAGCACATATTAAAATTTGTAAAAATATCAAATAAGACTATAGGTGCCATTACTTCCAGAGGTACTTCCTTTTTGTTAAGAGACTGATAAGTGAAAATAGTGTATGGAATCACCACCATTTTATTAATCAAGATTTCCAACTTCTTCAAGTTCTTATTGCTTTCGTGGGTGACCATTAGATGAATAGTTCTCAGTTGAGTGAAAGAAAGAAATAAGCTTGTCCAAGCTGAGATACTTTATTTTCCTATGAAATCATGTTACCTACATTTATCTCACATCTCATAAAAAGAGATGTAATACTTGCCTTAGGTATGTAACCCAGGACTCTGTTGAGTTTGATGACGATACATGGTTTTCCATCTTCATAACCAAAATTAGGATCGTCTATGCCTGAGCAATTTCCCAGCCAACTGCGAAAGAACTTGCAAGATGGCAAAACACCTTGAGAGCCGTCGAAAGGTCCTCTGTCTCTGGGAGGAGAAGGTTCATCTGATGGTGTGGATTGGGGGAGAAAGGAGGAGATGTCAATAATACCTACACACATTGTAGTCAATACCACATTTTTAAAAATTAATATATAATGGTTAAGATCCAGAGAGTAACAGATTTCCACCTCTATTTTATTTTTAATCAGAATAACAGTGTAATACAAGGGTCTTCAAACTTGGCAAGTTTAAGACCTGTGGACTTCAACTCCCAGAATTCCTGAGCTAACATGACTGGAGGAGGAATTCTGGGAGTTGAAGTCCACAAGTCTTAAAGCTGTCAAGTTTGAAGAGCCCTGGTGTAATACTATATGTATTTTACAGTTTTGCATCTCTGTCAAATGTTACAGGATAATTTTTGCCAGTGGTTGCATCCCAACACATGCTGGTACCAAAGAATATAATGCTACTGATCATACATTTTTCTCAGTCTGAATATATTTAAAAATGGTTGCACATAGAAATAAGCAGCTTGAAGGTTATAGGAACCTTGTCTTTTTGCTAAGAAGCTTCAAGGACACTCACTGTTGGAATATTAGATATACTAGAGACTGCTAGCTTTAAGACCATCAACAAACTTTCAGATTGATCAAACAAAAACAAAATAAAAATATATGCAAATGAAATAACATCTACTCACTGCCACAATTCTCAAAATTGATGTCTTGCTGATTAGCACTCTCATAATGCTTTAATAAATTTTCTATTTGGGTTACATGTGGACTGTATGATTTTGGATCAGAAGGGTTGAAAGAAATCTCCATTTTACTGGCTCGGGGAAGATTTGTCAATCCTATAAAGAAAAGGAAAATAGCTGTTAACCCACAGGAAGAAGATAACTAATAGGACTTGTGGCAATGAAGCATTTCTAAGAATAGGAGAGAAAGATGAAATCTATATTTTAAGAACTGATTGATAACCAGCAATCCACGAACATCCACAGAGTTTAAATCTACATCTTCCTTAGCAAAACTGCCTTTTTGTTCTTGGCCACAAAGTCCTGACATAGAGACTCTGGCCACATAGCCTGTGATTCATGAATATGTGTCATATTTCAGGGAAATGTCCTTATACGAAAGGAAATTTTGAAAAGAGGCATTATGCGGATATTCCTTTATTTACAACAGTTTGTTTAGTGACCATTCAACAGCACTGAAAAATGTGACTTGACTGTTTTTCATACTTACGACCTTTTGCAGCATTCCCCGGATGTGATAATGTGATCAAAATTCAGATGCTTGGCAACTGGTTCATATTTGTGACCTTTGCTGTGTCCCAGGATCATGTAATAATCCCCTTTTGCAACCTTCTGACAAGCAAAGGCAATGGGGAAACCAGATTCACTTAACAACCAGGTTACTAACCTACCAACTGCAGTGATTCACTTAACAACTGTGGCACGAAAAGTCATAAAATGGGGCAAATCTCACTTGACAAATCTCTCACTTATCATTTTGGGCTCTGTTGTGGTTGTAAGTCAAGGACTACCTGGTATTCTTTGCATTTGGGTTGGGTTGCTGTATGCATGGAAAAGGCTGCATGTGAAGTATATGAATCTAGGCAGGTGATATAAACTGCAATGTCAAAAATATTCCCCCACAACCCAGCCCTTTGTACATGCATCCCAACATCAAATATATCTTTGACTAGCATATCAGGAACAGCAATTAGTAGATGGGTTTGAGGTGGGGAAAGGAAGCATAACTGAAAAATTATAGATGGAAAAAAAACCAGGATATAATAATAACTATCTTATTTGCTGCTTATTTGCTCAATGACATCACTGCAGGAATGCTATAACTTATCGTAACGCAAGAGCCAGTTGTAAATTTACTTTTTCAACACCATAACTTCAGGATAGTTGTTAAGCAAGGACTACCTGTATGTGTGAAGAATCATGCTACACATACTCTAAGAGATCATTTGAATTATAACATTGTTTGCTGTTGTATCTTCTACATCTACAATATAATGGTAAATTGTATTACAGTTCAAATTAAAATTCAACCAATCAGAATAGAGCTGGAAGGGCCCTTGGAGATCTTTTAGTCCAACCCCCTACTCCAGCAGGAGACTCTATAGCAGGGGTGTCCAACCTTGGCAACTTTAAGACTTGTGGACTTCAACTCCCAGAATTCCTCAGCCAGCTTTGCTGGCTGAGGAATTCTGGGAATTGAAGTCCACAAGTCTTAAAGTTGCCAAGGTTGGA